TGCCATGTAGTGAGACCCTCGCGAGGTGAGTGCGGGCTCCCTGCCGCGGGATCCGGGTGGGACGCCCAGGCCTCCCCCGCGGCCTGGGAGCCGGAGTTCCGGCCCTGACGTTCTTCTGCTTCCCGGGACGCTGGAGGCCTCGGGCCCCGCCTCCCGAAGCCTGGACTTCCAGACACCGCCCTCGGTCGTGTCAGCCTGTCCCGGGACCCCAGACCCCTAGCGGCCCTTCTTTGGTCATGTACCCCGCGGTCCCAGCCCGTGACCTGAGGCGGTCGCTCTCTGCTTTCGGGGGGATGGCGCCGGGGAAACGGGAGCGGGAGAGTGATCCGGCTCCCAAACCCGCCCTGGGCGAGTGGTCCTCGAAGCTGCCCGCGACATCTCGCCAAGAGCCCGGAACCCCCTTAGCCTCATCCATTCCTTCCTAGCGGGGCCCGGGCCTCTACTTTCCTTACAGGACCCCAGCTCCCTAGTTCTCCAGGAGCTCCAGATGAAAGGATGATGAGATCCCCACGCAGTCCTCGCCCCTCAGTTTCCCCCTTGCTGGGCCCCCGAATAAGTCACTTGGAAGGGATAAAGTCTGAGGGGAAGGCAGCATGTTCCCAGTGCAGGAGTGAATGAGTCACACTGGGTTAGGGAAGGTCACCAAGGGGCTGCAGTCGAGTGACCAGCCTTCTCCTTTCTTGGCCCCATCTTTTCTACCATGACCATCCCCCCAACCCTGTCTTCTTAGGTCTGAGAGTCCCTGGAGCAGCCGCAGCCACCATGGGGCCCTGGGGAGAGCCAGAGCTCCTAGTGTGGCGCCCCGAGGCAGCGGCCGTGGAGCCCCTCATGCCAGTGGGGCTGGAGGTGAAGTTGGGGGCCCTGGCGCTGCTGCTGGTGCTCACCCTCATCTGCAGTCTGGTGCCCATCTGTGTGCTGCGCCGGCCCGGAGCTCACGCAGAAGGCTCGGGTGAGCCTCCTTTCCCCTGCTGCCGCGGGTGCCTGGGGTGGGAAAGGCTCTGGGGCCGAGGAAGATGACCCAAGGAGGGGAAAAGGTGACCATTGCTTGGGTTGGGGTTCATTTGCTCATTCCCCTCTGTGCTTCACCCTCGCCCAGCTTCCCGCCAGAAAGCCCTGAGCCTGGTCAGCTGCTTTGCCGGGGGCGTCTTTCTGGCCACCTGTCTCCTGGACCTGCTGCCTGACTACCTGGCAGCCATAGATGAGGCCCTAGCAGCCCTGCACGTGACGGTGAGCACCGGCCTGATGCGCGTGACCCTGTGTATGTGGCTGTGTTCAGTCACGCACCTCTAGGAGAGAGGTGGTTTGCATGGCGCTGTTTCTGTGGCACTCCATGACTGTGCGGAAGGCTCCTGGCGTGTGGCCCTATGTGTTGTGATTTTTAGTAATAGGGTAGAACTCTTTTTGTGGGTTCCTTCCCCTAGTCCCTCTGTGACCCCTGTGTACTCTGAGACTGTGTGAGGAGCCTGATGACCAGGTGTGTGACCTAGTCTGTGGGTTTCTGAGTTCCAGCCTCCAGGAAGTTAACAGCACTGCGAGAATCATCTTCACCCTCTTAGCACTTGCCCGAAGGACTGGAGATAGAGGTCCCTACGGGCCTTGGCAGGGTCGGGGCCGATCCCAGGGGCCTGATGCTGCTAAGCAATGAGACTCAAGGAAGTAGGATGTGGGAAGTTCAAGTCCAAAGCGTAGGAAAGTCTCACAGGAAAAACAGACAACGGGGTGGTGGTGTGAGGACCGCACCCCGGGCTCTTCCTCTGTTTTCCTAAGACCGAGGAAGTGACACTGGATACAACCCTCTGTCTCTGAGTGCCCTGTGTCTCTGTGTGACTCTGTGTAAGCCTGAATGTCCCTGCCACGGTATGTGGCTCCGTGCGTGAGCATTTGGGAAGGTGGGCCAACGTGCGACTCTGAACGTCTGCATCAGTGACCCTCAACTGGGGTTGGTTTTGCCCCCCACCCCTCAGAACATTAGGTGATGTCGGAGACATTTTTGGTTGTTACACTGCTAGTGGCATCTGATGGGTAGAGGCCAGGGTGCTGTTCACAGGACAGTCCTCACAGACAGTTAGCGAGCCCAAACGTTCCTAGTGCCAAGGCTGAGAGGTCTTGATCTACACTTAGTAACCCTAAGAGCGACACCAGAATCCGTGATTGTGTTTCATTCTGTCTGTGTCACCAAGTGACTCCGTCTCTTTGTGTGACCAAGAGTGGCCCCCTGTGTGTGTACGCGTGGAACTCCATCTGTGTAAACGGGGCGCCAGTAGACTCTGCATCTGCCCCTTCCTCCCCATTCTCGGCCTGTCTCCTGAACTCCTTGCTGCCTCCTCTGCCCACAGCTCCAGTTCCCGCTCCAAGAGTTCATCCTGGCCATGGGCTTCTTCCTGGTTCTGGTGATGGAGCAGATCACGCTGGCTTACAAGGAGCAGTCGGTGCCACCACCTCGAGAGGAGACGAGGGCTCTGCTGGGGACGGCGAATGGTGGGCCGCAGCACTGGCATGATGGGCCACGTGTCCTGCAGGCAGGCGGCGCCCTGGCAGCCCCCTCGGCCCTGCGCGCCTGCGTACTGGTGTTCTCCCTGGCTCTGCACTCAGTGTTCGAGGGGCTGGCGGTGGGGCTGCAGCGAGACCGGGCTCGGGCCATGGAGCTGTGCCTGGCTTTGCTGCTCCACAAGGGCATTCTGGCAGTCAGTCTGTCCCTGCGGCTGCTGCAGAGCCACCTGCGAGCGAAGGTGGTGGCTGGCTGCGGGATTCTTTTCTCATGCATGACACCTCTGGGCATTGGGCTGGGTGCAGCTCTGGCAGAGTCGGCTGGGCCGTTGCACCAACTGGCCCAGTCTGTGTTGGAGGGCATGGCAGCTGGCACCTTCCTGTATATCACCTTCCTAGAAATCCTGCCCCAGGAGCTGGCCACTTCCGATCAGAGGATCCTCAAGGTCATCCTGCTCCTATCAGGCTTTGCCCTGCTCACTGGCCTGCTCTTCATCCAAGTCTAGGGGGCTCCAAGAGGGGTAGGGAGGTTGGGTGTCAGGTGCCCCTGACCCGCCTCCGCTCCTCAGGAGTGGGCAAGGGCGGTGTTGAGGACCTAAGAGCTCTCTGGGGGGTTGGGGCGGGACCTCTGGGACTATCTGTCCAGTGAGAGGGAGGTGGGCAGACAAGAGCCTAGACCCCAGGCCCAAGGGACAGGGCATGGTTATATCACCAGAGACATGACCAAGGGACATTAGTGTTGGGGAAAATACTGCACATGGGAACAAGCTGACCCTGGGGAGGCTGCAGGTGGGTATAGGACAGAGGGTGTCGGCCCAGTCAGCAGCCCGGTCGTCTCTAGCCCACTTCCGCCCTCTGCCATTTGGAGTGGACCCCTCCCGCTTGGCTTAGCTCCTGCTCACACCTGTCCCCCTCTCCCCTTTTCCCAAGGCATCAGTGCCAAGTGGCCTCTCCCTGCCAGTTTTGGTACCTTCTCCGGCTTCTCTAGCCCTGCTCACTCCTCTGTTTTTAAAGTGCCAAATAAAATGCCCTCCCTTTCTCAAAGCACAGTGGTGGCAGTGAGCCCTGCCTGGCCCCTGGGTGAAGGGGGTCCTCTTGCTCTCTCTGTTAGTCCCAGATCCCGGGGTGGGGCAGAAATGTTTGCTGGGTTGGGGTGTGGGGAGGGCCACCGCTGCACCCTGTGAACAGTGAACATGGACATGGTGCCTCGTACCCGCGATAAACACTGAGCTGCCAAAACTTTTTTATACCAGAGGAGCCCAAGGGGCAAGGGGAAGGCTCGTCCCCTGCCCCCGGGGTTATTTTTGGGGAGGTAGGGCTGTGTGCATAGGGTCATATTCTCTAGAATCTATTTTACTTACTGACTTGTTTTGGGACATGTTACCCAAATAAAAGATGTTTCTGTACATCTGTGCGGTGTCTGATTCGTTTGTCATGGGGAGGAGGTGGGCATGTGGCCAGCCTGAGAGGGCCGGAGTCCCAGATGTTTACGGCTGTTTTTGTATCCCTGGTCGCACTGCTCTCATTCAGCCTTCTCATCCCCCCAGCCCGAGCATGGCCAAATCTTCGCTCTTCGCTGCCTTCTCCCCTCGCTGTCCCCACCCCTTCCCCATCCTCTCCTCTCCCGCCCCCTCCCCTTGGCCGTGCCCGGCTCGGGACCGGCGGGGAACTACGACTCCCAGCGTGCCGCGCG